TGTGGTCTGATGTGATTAGTAGCCTGTTCTGTCAAGTAACTATGCCTGACGAAGAAAACAATTGAGCAATTTGGTGTTAGACCTTCATGTTGGCTAACCACCAGTCTTGTGACTTTTAACAAGACATTTAACCAGGCAACAGCCTTCATCCAGCTCTATGACCATCGTAATAACTCTTAACCGGTTTTCCTTCCCCTCCTGTCTCCCTCCCTCCCTTCTCTCTCTCTGTCTCTCTGTCTGTCTGTCTGTCTGTCTCTCCTTCTCTCCCTCTTCCCTGCTCCTCCTTTCCCTTCAGCTCTCCCTTTGCTATTCCTTCCTGTCTTCTCTTTTCTCCCTTGCTTTTTCAAAAAATTTAAAATGACCCAACCCAGAGGAAATCTTTAAACTGGTTTTCTCATAAACCTTTTCCTTTTGAAAAGTTCCAAACAAATCCTTGGCACTTAGTTGTTCACCATTGATTCATCTGAGAAGTGGCTTGCTCATAGTATAACAGCAATAGTTACAATCATATACAAATGTGTAGAAATAATAATTTTAACATTCAGAATAGTTGTTACCAATAGGGAGAAAGGAAGGAGAATGATGTTGGAGAGACACATTTAGGGGACAGTAATTGAATCTCTAGTGGCTCAAACTCTGGAAGCAGATGCAGCAAAATGTTAAGATTTTATAAAACTGGGCAGAGGGTATGAGATGATCTTTCAGTTATTCTCTGTAGATTTCCAAATATAATATGTAGGGTTATAATTTATCAAAAGTATTCCAAATAGCCAAGACATGGAAACAACCTAAATATGCTTTGACAGATCACTGGATAAAGAAGTTGTGGTATATTTATACAATGGAATACTATTCAGCCATAAAAATGACAACATAACGCCATTTGCAGCAACATGGATGTCCCTGGAGAATGTCATTCTAAGTGAAGTAAGCCAGAAAGAGAAAGAAAAATACCATATGATATCACTCATATGTGGAATCTAAAAAAAAAAAGAAGAAGACAAATGAGCTTAAATATAAAACAGAAATAGACAAACAGACTCACAGACATTGAATAAAAACTTGTGGTTGCTAGCGGGGAAAGGGGGTGGGAAGGGACTGGGAGTTCGAGATTTGTAGGTACTGACTGGTATATATAGAATAGATAAACAAGTTTATACTGTATAGCACAGGGGAATATATTCAAGATCTTGTAGTAGCTCACAGTGAAAAAATATGAAAATGAATATATGTATATTCATGCATGACAGAAGTTGACACAACATTGTAAACTGACTATAACTCAATTTTTTAAAAAAGTATTCCAGAAAATAAGGAAGTCATATTGCACTGTTAAAAGATAGACTGAGGTATGCTAAAACTTTTAAGAGTTTATCTGAGCAAAAATCTATTTGAGTCGGGCAGCACCAAACCAGAAGGGGTTGGGATTGCTCCACCAACAGGAGCTGGGGAGAGACTCTATTTCAGAGGAAGATGGAAGGAAAGTGAGGAAACTGCTGATTGGTTATAGCCGAAAGCCCAGTTGGTGGTTCATGGTTGATTGTCCTTTGGTTTCAATTTCAAAACCTTGAAGTGTTGACAGGCTGAAATTCTAGTTTGCTTCCACAGGCCACCAGGGCATTAGCGCCGCCTCAGTGTCGTGGCCTCCTTGTTCAATTAATTTAACACACCTCCCCAGGAGCTAGTCCTTCTCTGCCTCCTTCACACTAGTTTTCTTCCTGTTCCACTTCCCTCTTTCACCACACCACCGCAAATGTGTCCATAAAATTTAGGGCGTGAAAAACATTTCAAATTTGCCTCCAATTTTGATCAATAAGTAGTTATTCGATTAATTCTATATGCAGATCTTTTCTTACGAGCTGAATGACTTTTATAGACCAGAAGATAAAGGAGAATCCGAGAGATACACCATCCCATTTAGTGGTTGACAAATGCTTGTTAAACATTGTCCCTAAGTCACTGAGATAAAATGTATGAATGGGAGACAGTCCCTATTCTCAAGGATTTTGCAACCTAGGTAGCAGGTGACACAGGAAGCTTTTGCAGTTATAGAAATTAAGAAGCTTGCCAGTCTTAAAACCGAATTATAGAATATTAAAAAAAAATCACTGAGATGGGTATCATCAATTCTACTATCATGAACTTACTCTATAGATATAACTGCATGTGAATGAAATGACTTATCTATAAGTTTTGGTTGTTAGAGCAGAAGACTGAAAATAACCTAAATATTCATTAATACGGTGTGGTTAAGTCAGGTTACATCCACGCAGTGGAATAATATGCAGTCAGTAGAATGCAGCATCGCAGATACCATAAAATGAACAGAAGACTAAGGAACATTATGAAGTGAAATACAGTAAGGCAAACAAACAGCAATAAACTAACGCACTAAATAAGATCATAGTATTGTATAATTTGTATGAGCAAATAAATAATTCTATATATGCATGTATGTGCACAGGCCATCTCTGTAATTTTACAAAAAAGGACTAAAAATAAGATGGGCGAAATTCAGGTAGTTGGGAGCAGGAGTAGGAGGGAGATTGTGTAGCCTTTTATGGCTTCTACGTTTTTTACTGTGAACGTGTATTACATAATAAAATAAATTACATAAAAATATACAAAAATGTAGAAAATAAATTGGAAATAATAAGCGGAAAGAGCATTGGAGAAGAAGAATTGAAAGTGAAGACAGACTCTTTTCCTTTTTTTCTTTTTTTCTGTTTTCCCCTTTGCAGTGTATTTTTAGAATTTCTCCTGCATGTGTAAAGGTGATGGGTAAGGTAGAAGGTGTGAAGGGCCTAAGAGGAGCTGGTACTGTCAGTTCAGAGTGTTCTGCTGAGTTCTGGCTGTGGTGGTCACGTGAGTCGGCCGAGGCTCAGCATCCCTTTACGTGGAGGAATTGCTGTTCTGCCAGCTACCCCCCCAGCAGACCGTGAGCCTTTTCAGGGCAGCGACTGGACTGGTGAATCTTCAGATCCATGACTGACCGACTACGGCGGGGTACCAAGGGTCTTTAGTGGATCCACTGGTATGAGAAGGAATAAAGTTACCATATATTTGCATTTCTAAGGGCTCAAGTTATGGCATTTTGCCATTACTGTTACTTGATGACAGCAACAAAGTGTGAAACATTTGTATTTTAAATAATGAAAGTCATGCCCACTACTAAGTAGAGTTTTAGTGGGACCCACTTTAGAACACAAACGAGAATCATTTCTACGCAGCAGAGCCATTGTTCATATGTAAATGGTTCTGCGTAAGTGGCCCTGAGCACAGGAGAATAGCTCACGTTTTCAGTAGGCTGAACACCCCATTGTGTTTACCTTATATGTTTGTATCATACTGTACAGTCGGCCCTTCGTATCAGCGGTTTCTACATCCTCAGATTCAACCAGCAGTGGACCAAAAATATTCAAAAAAAAAAAAACCCAGAAAGTTCCAAAAAGCAAAACTTCAGGTAACAATTTACATAGCATTTACATTGTATTTATAACTATTTACATAGAATTTACATTGTATAAGGTATTCTAAGTAATCTATAGATGATTTAACGTGTAGGAGAAAGAATGTGTCTGAAGGTTACATACCAATACTACATCATTTTGTATAAGGAACTTGAGCATCCTTGGATTCTGGCATCCTTGAGGGTCCTGGAACCAATCCCCTGTGGATACTAAGGGATGACTGTATATATTTAATAATTTATTTTTAGTGCAAAGATAAAGTAAGCAAAGTCACCTTCTACATTATTACAGTGCAGAATTTCGAATATCAACATTTTTTTAGGGTTTATAGTATTTATTTCCCCTTCAGGGAAGCTGTGAAGGAGGATTTTTAGTTTACAGTAGCATAATTCCAGAAAAATACTGCAGATTTCCATTTTCATAACTGACTTTGAGGTATACTTTCATATACCTACATGTTAATATATGCAAATGTCTCCAACCTGATTATTGCACAGTCTTAGCATTCTAGAATGTATACTTTTCAGTTACTGGGGGTGCAATTTCATATAAAACGCATCTCTCACCGTGCATTAGTTTTCTTCGGATTGCCCTGAATTTCTGTTGTACCGAATTTAAAATGGGAGTATGGAAGCCCACAAATGGGTGGGTTGGTAGCAGGTGATGAAGAGAATCTCCCTTTCCTTTTCTCTTTGAAACCTCTTCTGGGAATTTCTCTTTTTCTGACACGTATCTTTTGAAAATTTTAAAACAGGAAAGTTAAAAGAAAAAAAGAACTTAATGAAAATGAGTTATTCTTATTCAACAAAGAATAGAGGACTGTTTGAATGCACATCTAGAAATGGCTGTTGGGAATGAGAGAGTCTCCGGTGTTTCAACACGAACGCATTTTCACAAGCTCACCGGCCTTAGTGTCGGTGCCCCTTTGGGTCCTGGTGGTTTCGCATTAGCCTGTTTGTCCAGCGCATGGGCCCTCTTTTGTTTTCCCACGAGAGCTGCAGAAAGTGCAGATCGGCCTCCACGCCTTGCTCGGTCCTCGCATCTTGTGATCAGGACTCCTGAGATCCATTTTCAGCTCAAGGCTCTTTTTATGAAGCTCTATTTCTCAGCCTTTAAAACTCCACGATGTTTCCTGATCAATGCAGCCATTTCACAATTTCTTGTAATGTTATTTACAATTTTAAAACCAATGGAACCAATATGACGCCTAGAGCCAAGCTGACGTCACTGTGGTGTTGGGGATGGTTTTTTTTAAGCGTACCTACCCTACTCTGGACATTTCGATGTCTTGAGGAGGGTGAAGAGGATGGAAAATTCCTTCCACTGAGAGTTGCTGCCTTGGCTCCACGGGCAGGATTAGCAGCTCCGCGGGAAAGACCAGATGCTGGCCTGGCCCTCTTCCTGGGGCGAGGCCAGGCTCACTCCTCCGGGAACGGGGTTGGGCCGGCGGGGTAAGCGCAGGAGTTGCCCTTTCTCCCGCTGACCAGGTGTCTTGTTTTTGTTTTCGGTTCTTCCCATCTTCCCCTTCAGAGCATCGTGTGCACTGGGCGGCGTCAGTGGCACCCAGACCCCCTCCTGATCCACTGCATCCAGTCCTGTGAGGTAAGCCACTCCCCGTCCCCAGACCCAGACCAGACGTGCCTGGTCTGCTCAGCTTACAGAGACGTGAGGCCTTCTGGTTCAACAGCTTGCCCCTTCCCCTCTCCTACATCCTTTGTTTACTCTCTTAACTTCAGCTCTGCAATCCCAAAATTACAGATATTAGAATTTCTGATGTAGCCTTCTTTTTTTTTTAAGCAAAGTCTCCAGGGTACCATTTTAAATGACTTAATGAAAAATAAGTTAAAAGCAAGTCAGAATAATTTATGGTTTTGGGTTTTGGGATCTAGCTTAGTTAGATCAGACTTTTGTAGATCAATGGCCCACGGGCAGGGGTTGGGCCAGCACAGTGTCTAAAAACAATCTTGTTTTGGTTGCTAACGCTTAAAAATTGGGATTTTCACATAAAATTCATATGTGTATGTGTAACATTATACACATAGACACATATGCCAAATAAATATGAAACTCACGGTGCAAAGATTTTTCTCTTGAGAAACAAGAGTATGTGGCAACCATGGCAACAATGAGCTGGCTCTGAGTGGCAGCTACAACTCGGAGGACCAGTTCAGCACAGACCAACGCCTTTAGCTTCTTGCCTCCTGGGCTTCTCTCATGGACATCAGCTGCCTGCGTCACTCGGGCATCTGTTTTCAACCTCTGAGGAGGACCTGTCGTCCATTGTTGATTAGCTCAAACTAGGCCCTTACTACGTCAAGGACTCTTGTTTATGTTACCAAAAAGCCAACGCCTGTACCCCGACAGCCGAATTGAGTATTGGAGGCAGAGTTTGGGGAGGATAGAAAAGAACAGCTTTATTCCTTTGCCAGGCAAAGGGAGTCACTGCGGGCTGATGCCTTCAAGACCGTGAGCCTGCCTTGGGGTTAGGGTCCCGGGGTCTTATAGGAAAATGGGAACAGGAGGGTGATAGCAATCAGGGTGTGAGCAAGGGCTACATTCCTTTCATCTTGATAAGAACCTGCTGTTGTTATGGGGGAATTCAGGAGGGTCTGCCCATTTTCTTGAGGTTCACTCCACGACCTTCTTTCAAGACCTGTAGGGTCAAAGGCTAAGTTATTCTAAGAAAAGGACGCGCAGGGAGGGAGTGTGTTAGTCGTAAGATCAGTTTAGCTGGAAGTACAGGCCTGAACAGCTCAGTCGCCCTCTTGGGAGTTTTCTGCTCCTTCATTTACTTCTTCATTTACTTCTCCTTTGGCTGATGGAGCCAAGGTAGAAACTCACAAGGTTGATTCCTCTCCCAGTGGGGGACTTAGGGGGCGGTGAGGGCCTTAACTAAATTAACAGGAGTTGTTGCAAGAAAGAGTCAAGTATGAGGCAGAGCCTCGCTGAGGGAGGATGGCCCAGGCATCCTGACCTGGGAGATATTACACACACACACACACACACACACACACACACACCGTTCAAGCCCTCTCACCCTGGGAATAGCCGGTAACAAATACAAATACTCTGTCTCAGTCACAACAGGCTTTGTCATCCAAATCTCTCACTGGAAGTCATTAAGCCACTTAGCAGCAAGGTTCGACTAATTCGGGCTGTGCCTTGTGCACTGGAGGGAGCTGTTTAGCTGCCATGGCTTGCAGCTCCCTCCCCCCGCCCCACACACCCAGCCCACATGCCTGCTAGTCCCTCGACTGATTCTTCTCTATCTCGGTTCCTCTTGATCGAATTCTGGGCAACTGGAATCTCCATGAGGCCAAAGAAGGGGAAAGGGTGGGGTTGGAGACAAAGGGAAAACTGGGTGGGGAAGTGACACCAGTGAAGTAGAGTTCTGAGAGCGCATCAGGAGAAATGCTAGTATGGAGTGTGCTGTGTTACAGAGTGGGCCAACAAAACAGCTCATCTTCTGCCATCATTAGAAAAACAGATGGCAGCGGGGTGGGGAGGACGGCGGAGAGTGACTCATCTGCTGGGCAGGGGGTAAGAAGAAGGAAGAGGAGGCCAGGGAAGGAGGGAGATAAACAGACAGACGACTTGGGAACTGGGAAGAGATCAAAGGGACCCTGAGAATTCCCTTCTGCCACTTCCATGCATGAGCGCAGGAGGAAGGGTGGAGGACAGGGCTTGGAGCTGGCTTCGGTGTTTCCCAGAAGGTTACAACACAGAGCTTTCCCCATTTGTCCTCCCTCCACGCTGCACCCCAGAACATCCTCTGGATCCCTTCCCAGCCCCTTTGCGTTGTGACAAGAAACAAAACTGCATTCCCTCTTGTGACCCCCCCTGCCCAACTGCTATCACACACAGCTGAGGCTTGACTGCCACACCGCTGTTGGTGCTCCCACTTCAGGGGTTCTCAAAGCGTGGCCCCTGGACCAGCACAGTTGGCATCACCTAGGAAGCTGTGAAAAACGCACATCCTCAGGCCCCACCCCAGACTAACTGAATCAGAGACGCTGGGTGTGGGGCCCAGCTCTATGTGTTTTAACAAGGCTTCCAGGTGATTCTGAAGGCTGCTAAACTTGGGGAACCACCACTCAGGCCTCCATGGGCACAGACCGGAAGACTCCTAGCTTAGGGGTCCCTCATCGGAAGCTTTCTTGGTCTAGGAATAATTCTAGCCAACGTGATTTACATTCCGATTATTTTACAGTATTTCCCGAGACTGTCTGGGTAGGAAGAGTTTACAAGACACGATTTTGCTTCTGGTTTCCCAGCAAAGACTAGGACATGGGGGGAATAAATCCACTTAACGGGCTAGAAGGAAGAATCAAAGAAAAAAAGAATCACTACCTATAGAAAAGGAAGGGAAATTGGACAGGGAGGCACATGGGGAGAAGGAGAAACAACTCTGAAGGAATAAGTCGTAAGAAAGGCAGAGAGGGAGGGTGAGGACGAGAGAGAAAGGACAAGGGAGGCTGAAACTGGCATGTTCTAGGGGCAACTTGGCAGACACTGGATTCTTCACTGGAAAAAGTCAGCTAAATATATTAGGGCGAACTGAAGAGCGTCAGAGACGGACGGAAGGAAAACAGACCCGGAGGCAAGATAAACCAAAGAGGGCTAGGTGGGCAAGAGGACATTTCAAAACGTGCAGCCCAGAGATCTGAGCTCAAATTAGATACTTTGTGCCCCAGCGTGTAAAACGGGTTTTCTTGTTTTGCTTTCCAATACGGAATTTAATTCTAAGATGGCCCCTTAAGGCAGTCAGCCTCGTGAGAGTGAAGCCCCTCACTCTGTATTTCCCTCAAAGCACCCATGGCAGCGCATCCATCCCCTCCGGGTCCCAGTCCGTGCCTCCCGTTGTGTCACTTCTGCGTCTCTGTTTGTGTCGTGTCCTCTTGGCCACAGAGATTTAGCCTTCAGTTCTGCCCTACTCTCTGCCTCTCACAGAAATTACACCAGAAACTAATACAGCATTGTAAGTTAAAAAAAAAAAAAAGCTAAATAAATAAATAACAAAAAATAAAATAAAATATAACCTGAGGGGGGAAAGCAGAAAAATAAAAAATAAGTTTAAAATCTCCGTAAATAATGCCATCTTCTCATTGCCACTTGTGCTCCCACCGTCTCGAGGACACGTGTTGACCACGTATCTGCAATCCAAACGTGTTCGTGCGTTAAATTCCGTTTTTCTGGTTGTCTCTTGTGTTTAGCCTTCTTGACCTCCAGGCTCCTTGTGCTATCTGATTCTAGGTTGCCAGTGGGTGGGGAGTGGTAATTTGGTTGGTGGAAAGGTTTCGAAGTTAAACAAATGTAGATTCAAACCTTGGGTTAATTGAGTGGGGTGAGCTTGGTGTCTTAACCTGTCCTGGGAAGTGGGGGCCACGCAGCCATTTTAAGGAGGTGTGATGATGGATTAACTCGATAATGGACATAACACGTGTAAGCATCGTGCTGAGCCTGGTCCGTAATAGATGCTGATCGGGTGGTGGCATATGTTGTGAACTATTAGCTACTTTGTGAATTCTTCCTGAATGAACGAAGCAGAAAGCAGGGGCAGGGCTGCTGGTTGACCTCAGCAGGGTTAGATGAAAACTCTGGAGATGAGAAAAGGAAAAACAGGAGAAGAAAGGGAAACAGGAGACCCACTGAGATCCATAATTCACAGATAACTTGGAGACAGCCGCTGAATCCAGCCAGTCACCAGGTGAGCCGTCACCAGATCACCATATGAGGCCTTCTACTCATTCCCCCTGGTGCCCCCTCACTGGGGCCTCACCATCTCTCATCTGGGCTATTGTCTTGGTCTCATTGTCCTCCCTAATCCCAGACCTGTGCCCATTAAATTTATAGACAAGCACACGAACAGTGTACAGAACAAATACTTATCCTGCCAAATGCTTGTCAATAAAGTCCAGCATGGAGAAAGAAAGAGGGGGAGAGCGAGAGGGTTTTCCTCATTTTGTGGGGTAATAATTGAAGTGAATGTTCCCTCCATCCATGAACGCATGATACAGTCCAATCATAGAAGTGTTATCCTCCCTTTTTTCCTTCCTTCTTCCTTCCTTCCTCTTTCATAAAAATCATATTTATTAATTCTAGCAAAATCTACAGTCCTAGTTTCCACTTAAACTAAGAACATCTCGTTGTCTCGAGAATGCAGGTGGAAATAAAGACCACAGTGAAGCCTCCTTTTGGATAGAAACGACTAATTTCCTTCCTGCAGGATGATTAAAACCGAGTGCCCACTGACCTGCACTTTGGCTCTGCTTTTTCCCGTGCGCACGCACCTCTTGTAAGTTCATCACGCTTCCCAGTAGCCTTCATTCTGGATGACAGTTTCTCATATTCTGTCTTCAGCCTTTTGCAGGTTCGGGTTGAGCTGTGCTCTTTCTTTTTCGAAAGAGGGAGCTGTGGAGGAGGACAGAGGCAGGGTGATGTCAGAAGAATTGGGTTCAAGTTCTGAGTCTACCCTTGAGAGCTACGTGTAGTATCTGTCTGGCTTCCTCGCAAAACTCCCTGTGAGAATCAAATGAACTAACTGATGTTAAAGTGTTGTATAAGTTTCCAAATGGCATATTTGTAGTGATAGGGCCTAAGGA